GTTTAAAATTAAAAATAATTAATGCTATATCCAGCACGAGCATCTCGATTCATTCCTACCAAACCTTCTACTATTGATAAGGGAAAAGAAATTGTCAAACAACGCTGTGATCTAGAGAATTTTTACTGAAAACCAAACAACTACAGACGCTTATACGTCTTTAAATTAAAAAAAGTTAACAATTTTATGTATTCGCTATTGGTGTCACTAAAATTGAGTTTATTTTGGATTTTAACATAACATTAGATTTAATAATTTTGAAATAGAAGATCTGCTTAGTCATAGTTTTCAATAATCTGCGTTTTGGACAATCCGTATTAATTTGGATTACTGGGACTCATGCTCACATTAATAATTATTTATAAGTTAAAACAAACAATTTTTTATATTTAAATTTATTTTAAGGAGATGTCTTAATCGGAATGGTAGGTCAAGGATAGGATCTCTTCCCGAGGCTGCGGCTAGGCGAGAATCGTTGTAAAACTTCATTAATAATACCCTGATTTTATGAATAGTTTTTTGCTATTTATTTTACAAGTAAAATACTTAAAAGTAATAGTGACTAATCTGTCATGAAGAATGTGTTGACTACATTTTAAGCATTTTTAAAGTTTTATTATCGTAATTTCTTACCTATAATTAAAAAGGATTAGAATTTTTCGATTCGTATTGTAAATCGGAAATTATGGTGTTATACATAGATGCTTTTTATGATTTTTCAAATATCCTTTAAACTTATCTGAATAATCTTTTAAATTAAAAATGTGAATGTTTATTCATTTCTCAAAATCATCTGAATAGTTTAAAGTTAATGGGAAAAAAATACAAATTAACAACTATCTAGATCTTTGAAGAAAAGCACAAAATTTTTAACGGTTATTATTTAATACCCCTCTAACTCAATTGAAATGAAAGAAATACTATTATACCTTTAGTACACTTTGAAAGAAAAATCGACACTTTACTAAATTTAGCATATTTATATAAATGCCCTTTTTTGTAATTAATTCCCCTTTAAAGTCCAAACATTCCTTTAATAACAACAAATGCATACTAAAGGAATTTTCTGCTTTGGCAGTTATATAATCATATAGGAATTTCAAGACTTCTTTTTTGCTTAAAAAAATAATAATAAATAAAAATTCCATCAAGTGTTGAAAAAAAAAGTGTTTTTTATGAATTGAATCCTCCAAATATATTAAACTTTTTTTCTTATAATTTTACCTTTCAACTCTCTTTCAATTTTTTATAGTTTTGTTTAGAGAAAAAGAATTCATTTCTTAGTAATAATAATAAATGCTTTTAACTGTTATTTTAATTAACTGTTAATACTGTTTATTTTAAACTTTTTATCTCCCAATATTTTAATTACATTATTTTAACTAAAAATAATTCATTATAATTTAGTAAATACTAATAAAATAATTCGTTATATTATAAAAGTAGAATAACTTTAAACTTTTGTATTAAAATAAAGCAATATTTCATCCTGATATTAAAAAAAACACAGTTTAAATATTAATAAAAAAAAATTACATGGATATTGATTTTGGAAAAAAATTAGTTCTAGTATTTAATGCATAAATAATAATAAATTTAGTCTAGACATCTGACAATGCAGCTTCTTTCTTTAGTTTTTTTTATTGTTATTGTTTTTTTTAACAAACGTTATGCTTACATAAAATTATAATTCTTTCTCGATTTTATAAATTATATTTAAATAAAATATGTAAAATGAAATCATTTGGCTGTTCATAACCAATTATCTGTTTTTACATCTAATTCTTTTACTTTTCTAAAGCTTAAGTTTCATCCGAGCTATCTTTTTCAAAGACAAAGGAAACACAATTGTCATCTCTCCAGTTTAAATTCTGTATTTTTTGTAAATATCTATGGCACAGCCAGGATTCGGACCTGAAGTCTGTGGTACCATAGTCCAGAGCTACAGCTGATTGAGCATCAGGCCCCACACAGCAGTAAGATCAACAGGAAGTTTTTCTCGGCATATGGCGTAGCTACAGGGTGCGATTGTAAAATTATATTTAATCTCCAAGACCTGATATTAGCGATGTGAACTATGGATCTTTACTAATCGGTCCAGTAATTTTTATACAATAACACACTTATTTTAAGCTATTAATTGTCACTTAGCCACATATGCTGATGACGCTGCAATCGCTACTACACATTAATACCATCGTAAGTGCACTGTAAACTCAGTGTTACAAATTAAAAAATTGGTTAGAGAACTGGAGAGTTAAAATTAACCCGACCAAATGAGCTTGAATCCTCATTACCAAAAAAACTTAACGAAAATCCTAGAAATATAACTGTCTTTATCCAGCCTATCCAGCGGGTGAATATAAATATTTAGGATTATATTTGACTCAAAACTGCTTTTTTATGTCACACCTAAGATAAGCGGTCCCTATAAGTGCCGCCGTTAGCATACAAATATAATCGCTTATCCCTAATAAAAGTCGGCTTTCCATTAAGCACAAAGCTCTGATTTATAAATCTATTCTGAGGCCGATTCTACTGTATGGCTGACCAATCTGGGCAACTACAAATATTTCCAGTCTGAGAAAGCTGCAAGTTTGCCAAAAAAACCTCAGTCCTCGCTCACGCTCCTTGGTTTGTTTGAAGGAAAATAATTCATAATGATCCGCAAATAGACCCCATCCTAAGCTACATTAAATCATATTATAAAACTTTTTTCGAAACATGCCTTCAGATCCAAAACGAACTACTTCAAGCAATCCCAGCATACGATCCAGCAGTGCGAAGCTCTCAAAAAGAAGAACTACCGCGATCCTAACCCAAGAATTCGACTCCTTTCCCCAAAGTCAAACAACGGAGGTTTGAATATGTTGTTTCGATCGTGAGTTATTGTGAATCTGTGCTGCTACAATAAGCTGAAAGGCGACAGATATTCACTCCCCTCCCCTCGGGGGGTAGGTTCTACAAAAGTTTTCTCACTCCTACCCATGCTACTTTGTGTAAATTTCGACAATCTACAAACCTGTGACATCAAAAGGCCGTTTTCTCCTCATACTCTTAGCTAGCAAATGTTAATTTTCACTTATCTTGTCTTACTTTATTTTTAACTTCTAAAATATTTTGTTAATGTATCTTAATTATTTTTAAACATCTTTATTTAAATCTCTTGAACCTTAAATTTTTTTCACGTTTTTCAACTGCATTTAAAGTGGCATGTGCGATGCACCCCTAATTATGTCTTTACAACTTAAAACCTTAATTTTTAATCTTTATTTTTGATTTTTTTTCAGAGTTTTTACTCCAATACTTCTACTACATTTTAAATAATTTAAATAAAGTTTTATTAAAATTTTAATTTAATTTTTAAACTTCTAATGCTGCCCTAACCTTTTTGTTATAACTATATATGGATGCTTTGATTTGCAGATAGGCCACGAATCGGGCAGCACGATTTTTTGCTTTTAAGATATGGAGTTTTATTAACAGGTTTGTGGCAAAGGGTACTCTTTAAGAAACATCCATTGCCGTAGTCATCTCGGCATATGAAAGTCAAGCATCCAAGATTCCTGGTGAACCTCAATTTTCGATCGTGTTCATTTAGACGGCCATCTGAAAATTAAAATTTACACAACGAAGTCTTAGCTCCCCTGACCACTTCTTCCTATATACTGTTGGCAATGGGAGCAGGTTCTTCAGATGAGAGTGAAATTAGCCCCAACTTCAAGAAAATTTTGCTGCTAAAAATTTCTTCTATTTTATCCATTTCGGCACTAACAGGAAACCATATTTTAAAATTAACAAATGATGAATGATTGATAGTTGAACAATCTTTAAACCCGATTCGTGGCAACGAGCGCCGCTGGTGAACATCAGGGCTGAGGTTCAGTTCGCTGGCGGTATTGTTGTACACTGTTTCAAAAAACGAGATGTTTTCATGGCATTGGTTATATTCAGCATCTTGCCTCGTCAATCGGACTACCTGGTGGGAGCTTTCCAGGTTTTTCCCTCATATGATAAGCCATTGCGGGGTGGTACCTCCCGGACTGCCCTCCATCTTCAGCGACACGGAGCCAAGTCAGACTTCTACCTGCGTGTGCTCCATCAAAACAGAAGCTATCCCCCGTCTCTTAACGAGAGGTCACACGGGTTCTTGGACTAGGTCTAGATTTTGCCAAGTGGGACAAGGAAAAAAAAGGCAATCTTTAAATTTATTAAAAGCTTACAATGATTTTACTAATGAATTTAGCTCGGAAAACCCTAATACCGTCCAAAACATTTGTTTCGTTTCGGAGTTTGAACAACTTTTTTTATAAAATTTACTAAATATAATTCATTATTCAACAAAAATTTCATTACATCATTACGTTACATATTATCTATTACATATTTCAGTTACAGAAATGTATGTAATTGAAATATGTAACAGAAATTAAACATTCCTGGCAACAACAGACCGAGAAAGGTTTTATAGATAGGTGCTTGAAGCTGATTTGCTCGTGTTAAAAAAAAAAGCCTTTAAATATTTTGCGACTACATAAGGAAACAAATCAAGGTTATACACAGAGTTATAGTTCATTCAGTGAAGAAGTCGATAATCTCTCTAGGAACGCATCCAACCGAAGAAGAAAACTACAATAATTTAGAAAATTCTGAAAAAATTACTATCTGCTTGATGGGAAGAATTTGATGTTGGAGAAGAGCCGAAGAAACTAAGGATGATACTGCAATGGCAATTGCCAAATTAGATAAGCTACGAACTGAACTATTGGTGATGGTATACAAGAAAATCAATATATATGCATTAATACGAAGTAATTTTAAAAACACTTTGTAAAACTTAAACACCTCAGTACCTTGTGAGCTTTTTCAAATCTGGTGGTATTTTAAAGGGGGAAAACAAAGTTAAAAACTGTGACCTACGAAACTATCAAAACTTTATTCAGGCTTCTGAACCGATACAAACATCCATCGGCATTTGGACCCAAAGTCTGTCTCAAGCCAACGGCCGTACCATGCTGAATATACCGGTTCTCGTTAGATCACCGAAGTTAAGCATCATTGGGCGCGGTCAGTACAAGGGGGTGACCACCTGGGAACATTCCATTGCCGTTGGCAAATTTGGGACCTGAATGGCCGAGTGTCTAGCGCTCTGGCGCTCGGTGTAACATGGTCTTCGGGTACCACATCCCGGCGGTGCCATGGATGTTTGTAGTGGCAGGAATCCACTTTAAGCCGTAGGTCCCGGTCTTCTATGACTGTAAGAGCGTCACGGAGCAAAAGTCAGGCTTCTACCTACGGGTGCTCCATCACAACAGAAGCTGCTTCCTTCCCCTTCAATCATGAGTCCATATGGGCTCGTGGGCTTGGCCTGCCAAGTGGGATAAGAAACAACAACAACAGTCTGTCTCACCTAGCTCCAGAGTGTCAGATTATATAGACTCATATTATCATCATCAGTGGCAAAACACCTCCTTGCTGGGCCAAGGCCGTTTGCCTACTGACAGGTTTCTGTACAAGAGATGATTTTTGTTTTTACGGGTTCAGGTTGTTAGCTTTACGCCCAACGCTCTACATTCGTATTAGATCGGTATGTGAGGTTTAAAATGCATTACAAACCATGACAGAATCTATATCACCGTTGGGACTCGAACCCGAAGCGCCAGAGTGCTAATTACTCGGCCATCAGGCACCGATTATATAGACTGGCTTCTCTAAATTGAATGTATTGTTAATAAATTCAGATGTCTAATAATTTTAAGGTTCACAAGTTCATATTACAGACACACAATTGTAATTGTATGTAGCTTTTCTTAATTCATAGGAAAAAGATTATTTTTGATAAATGAATAATGACGCATTTTTTAAACAATTAATTTATTCACAACGTTTTTACATGCAGATACCTGTATCTAGACAAAACAAAAAAGTATAACTTAATAAAAAAATTGGTTTTGACGATCTCATGATCAGTGAAAAAAGTAGAAGGACACTTCTAAAAAGAGGTGTACTATATAAATTAATATGGAATTCTTTTCCTGTTGGGTCGAATTACTTCGAAGATCCTATTTGGCATCGAACTGTATAAAGATTGAATTTTTGTTTGGCAAAAATTGTCCCATACAAAGTTTAATGATTTCTGCAGCTCAGCTATAGATTTAAACTGCTTTCCACCCTTGTAAACACGACATACAATCATTGCCCATATGTTCTCTACAATGTCGAGATAAGGACTTTAGCAGGCCAATGTAAAAAATCGAACATTGTTTGCTGCAAATAATCTTTAACACCATTTGCAGTGTGAAATGAGGCTCCATCTTGCTGAAAAATCCAGTCATCTCCTCCTAACTCAGTGCCATACGGGAGAAGATTTGAGTTTAGAGTCTGGATGTAGTCTGTATGGTTCTGTCTACCATTTAGAAAGACTAAACTTGTCCTGCCTCCATAGCCAACTGCTAACTATACCATTAAACCACCTCCTCCCATCTGTCGAGTAGAATAAGTTTCTTCTTCAATACCAAGACAGTGCCAATAGTACTGATAACCATCTGGACCATCCAAATTGAATTTTTTTTCATCGGAAAATATAACTGAGGTCCATTCTGAGCTCCAGGACATGTGGTCTTTAGCCCACTGCAGTCGGTTCTTCATGTGTCTTTCATTCCACTTCGGATGGTGGATCCGTTTTTTGAAGACGAACTTTTTTGAGCGTTTTATGTAGTTATAGATAGTTCTTTTGGTTACATGTGTAATTCTTGATTGAAATTGCGCCTTGCCGACACTTCCACCAGTCTTTTGAGTTCACGAATGATTTTCGTTGATCATGTTGGGTGAGTTTTTGGTCTTCCTGTCTTCTTCTGTCACTTTCAGGGTTTCTTATGAAGTTCAAAACAGTATTAGGACTGATTCGTAGCTGCCGTGCAATCTCTCTCACACCTTTGCCTTCATTATTATAGGCAACTATTTGGCCCTTCTGAAACTTACTTAAGGGTATTCTCTGGGCATCCTAAAACCAATAAAAACTATGAATTTCTAGCTAAATATTTTATTCTTGTTAAAAAGGAATTAAAAGAGAAAAAAACACTTACCTATAAACTTTCCAACAGCTTCAAAATAGATTTTTGGATGTGTCCTTCTACTTTTTTTTTCACACACCCAAAGTTATTAAGTATTGCATTCCTAAGTTAACATGATGGTAAATAAAAAAATCTCATTTAACTTTCACTTAACGTAAATTAAAACTCTAACAAAACAACTCTCTATAAAAATCAGATCAAAAGCAGTAAAATAAAAGCATATTGTACAAAAAAAAATGACTGTCCTTCTACTTTTTCACACAGTGTATCTCTGTTAATAAAAATCGCATTCTATCAAACGTCTCTCATGAGAATATATAGTTTAATTCTTTCAAATGATTTAACGCCTTACTTTTTAATATTTGCCATTATAGGTTACAGAATTTTACTTAATAAAAACTCTTAATTCATAATAAAATCACATTATATATTCACTTTTGTAGTTGTATGTTATTTTTCTTTAGTCATAGGAAATTTTTTGAAGGCATAAGAAAATTATCTCATTATTTAATATTATATCTGTGTTATTATAACCCCATTCTATCTAACGTTTCTGATAAGAATATATAAATTTTAATTCTTTCAATTGAGTTACACCTTACTTTTTAATATTTGCCATTATAGGTTACAGAAAGATTTTTATTTAATAAAAACTCTTAATTCATGATAAAATTTTAATTCGCTCTTACGAACCTAAATTTGAAATAAAATTAAAAGGACAATTTATTAAAATGGGAAACAAATTGTTTTCCGATGATATTTATTTTCTTCATAATCCTTTGTGAGATTATACAAAAGCCGATTTGTAATTTGAATGCGTCTTGTATATTATTTTTGTAAAGAATATTAATGGAACCGAAAGAAATATTTTTATTTATTATTTAGCTTAACTAAATAGATTCATTTAAAAGCTTCCCGACTGATTTAATTTTATTCTTTTATTTTTACTGTTTTTCTGCTTAATGCTATTAAATTTTACTTAATTTTGTCTTAACTTTTAAATTTGTTATTTTAATTTGACTAAATAATTAAAAACCAAATTCAATAGCTAATTTAATACTGTTCTGCCTTCATCTTACATTTTACAATACAATTGTACTTCCTTATTTTTTTAAATAAAAAATTTATTTTTTTTATAGCTTCGGTTGGGTTTTTTCCAATATTGTAAAGCAACTGACTGAAGGCGCCATCTTTTGGCGAGCCAGTCAACTATTATTTGAAGAATTTATTTTGTATGTTTTTTACGTTTTCTTAATATTCATTAATAGATGAATATTTCAATTTTCTTTGCTATTTTGCTAATTTTAATCTTAATCCTTTTGTTTTATTTTATTTTATCTTTAAATTTTAATTTTAACTTTAAATTTTTTATATGTTGGGCATCGACAACGGACTCCTAATTGTACCTATAGCTTTAGCTTTTTCGATCTCTTGCTTTAATTGTTCTCAAGTAAGAGAAGTTTTTCCTAAATTTTAATTGTTTTATTTTATTTATTTCTACTCATTAATTTAAGCAACTACATTTAATACACATATTTTAACTAATTTAAGATGTGGAGGTTTTGTGGTTCTTAAAACCCCTTTGGAACTCCGTAACCGAGGCTTCTGGGGAGAGGAATTGTGCACCGTGAAACAACAATGAAACCACCAGACGGCGTTATCGGTTCTTAGGGAAAGGGAATTTTCCCTTCAACTTAGGGAAGATTGTCACCCGATGAGTGGATGCCGTCGCTTTTAATTACTTGTAGCGTGCTGTGTTTCGCCATTTACCCGAATCGTCATTAGGCTGCAATTTTTAAATAATATGTGAGTTGATATTATTTATTTTATATCATTTATTTTTATTTTATTATAATTATTAGTTAATTAGCGTTTTAGTGAATAATTATTTTTTTTACATATTTAATTGCTATATTCTTAATTGTTCTGCTTTGTGTCGCCATTTTCTCGATAGCTTTATTGTGCTTCCAGTTTTTTTAAAATAATTTCTTAATTTTTATTATTTATGTATAATTTACTTTATTTTATTATAGCTTATTATTTAATTAGCATTTTAGTGATTTTTTTTTTTTTTTTTTTACATATTTAATTGCTGTTTTTATTGTTATGAATGCTGATTCTAGACTAATTTAAATATTTTGCTATTTTATTTTAGTAGTTCAATTGTTGTATACTTTTCAATATAATAATTAATCCCTTTTTTAATTAACAGGCTTTTGTTTTCGCTAGAAAAAAATCATAGCAGGAGCATAGCTGGTTAAGCCCTAAAAAGTTCATATTATAAAGGTAGAACATTTCCTCAAATAATTGTATATTCATTTTTAATTTATTTAGTAGTAATTAATAAACCCACACAAACGTCTATTTTGAAAAAGAATCAACAGTAGAGGAAGTTTAACCAATATCTTCAGAACATAATTCTAAAACATAACTCTACTAAAGGTAAGAATTTTGTGTTTGTAGGCTATGTTGCTGTTTCTGCAGTTATACATATGCTTATTTATTAACTGCATTGTTTTCATCTTTTCCTAATATTAAACTTAGTTATTAAATTTATATTAAAATAATTTTAAAATATAATTCATACATGTAAAGTGTTTTTTAGGTATTAAAAAATATTCACATTATAATTAAAACCCTACAGTAAAATAAAAAAAAAATCTGTTACCAGTCTTACTGTAGATAACTCTTAATTTCCCTCCTTTTAATGAATAAACAAGGTTTCCCTTTATAATCCATTTTCAAACCATAATCATTATTTTTAAAATTTCCATCTGTAAATTATGAAATTCAAAAATACTATAGTTATAAAAACTTAGTGTTTACTAACACAGTTGTATGATATATGAAACTGTTGCCAATACAAGATTACAAATGTTATCTTATAAAAATTTATGTTATATGCTTTATAAAAATCCAAATTTTTCATGTATTACAATTATTTCTTGATAGTAGTTTCCAGTCCTACTAGAACTTCATAATTTAATTTTTTTTGATTAAAAAATTTCTCTCGATGTCATTTATTACTTTTAAACGT